AATAAGAAAAATAATATGTGGTCGCCACCAGGGCTTACTTTCTTAAAAATTACTTTTATCATAATTTGTAACTTACAAACAGTTCAGCTTCCACCGCATCTACGCTTGTTCCTCAGTCAATAAATTCAACTTTTATTTATAAAAAAAAGATAGTTGAGATCCTCATCTGCGGTAGTAGCTTGTCTAAGCATTAAATATACATCATTAAAATAAATTAACAGTTCATTTATTTATCCACGTACTTACTGGCATAAACAATTAATTATTTAAATTATGTAACTGATCTTCGTTTGCACTTATTTTCCAAAAACTAATTTAGTTATCATTTATGGCTATAACAGATTGGAGCACTTCTCATATGGCACTTGCTCCCTTCATTATTAATTTGTTAATTACTTATGATGAAAATTATTAAGTTGATTATTTAGTTGTCGCAAGCGCTTACTTTCTTAAAAATTCGTTCAATTATTATTTATAAATAAAAAACAGTTAAGGTTCTTATCGCCTAAGCGCGTTCCCCGAAAAATTAATGTAGTTATTACTTATAACTCAAAGAGAGTTGAGATTCTCTTCTGCGGAGCTTGCTCACCCAAGCATTAATTTATTTATTATTTATCATTAGAGAAAGTTCATGTAGTCGTCATACTAGCGCGTTCTTGCTTAAAAATTCTTTTAATAGGTATTCATAAATGAAAGACAGTTAAGCTTCTTGTCACCTGCTCTTGTCTCCCAAAAAACTAATGTAGTGATAAATTGATAGTAAAAGATAGTTAAGCTCCTCATCCACGGCGCTTGCTCGCCAAAGCATTAATTTATTAAATATTCATAATAAGAAAAATAAGTGTGTAGTCAACACCAGCGCTTACTGTCTTAAAAATTATTTTAATAATTATTCATAAATGAAAACAGTTAAGCTGCTCATCACCTGATCTTGTTTTCCGAAAAATTAAAGAAGTGATTATTCAAAAGTAAAAGAGAATTGAGCTCCTCCGCATCTNTCATGGAGAACCTCCAAAGCTTAGGCTACAGTTAATAATTATTACGACGTGTTAACATAAAAATCTGAAAAGGAAAAAAGCATCCATATTTATAATATCAGGTTGAAGCGTATCGATGAACTAGAATACGATACTAGCATAAAAATACACTGATCGCCTCGCTCATCGCACACATTCGCTCCGCTCAGCTGCATTATACATATATACTTATATGTAGTAACAGTCAGAAGCGGAGAAGCACACTTCTCTCCTCTTTACAGGCTCACTATGTATTGTCATACGTCACACCACTTCCCCCTTCCATGCGTCTTCATAATGTGTGCCTACATGCCCATTTCCACGCAACTCGGCAAGCGCACACTCAGCGTGAATCTCCAAAGTATGTGCCTACACGCCCATTTCCACACGAATCCGTAGGCACACACTGGGTATACCCCCTCCATGCTTCTCAAATAAAAAAAAAANCAATAAAAAATAACTTATTCAATATCCATTAAAAAAGAAGCCAAAATTGTCTCTAGCCAGCCTAATTGTTTATAAACATTTTAAACTTGTTGTAAATGTTTTTGATTTGATTGCTGTTCAAAATAAAAGCTAGTGCAACTAAGAACTTATCATTCATTGTTATTTTGCTCAAGGATAAAAAAAAAT